ATGGATCATCCCCCCCATGGCCTCGGAGAGGTCCCTGTCCGAGGTGGCTGGGTGAGGCTGTGTCCCCAGTGAGGTCCTGGTCTGAGTGTCCCATGTCCCCAGCAAGGTCCTGTCCGAGGTCCCATCAGGGTCTTGTCCTCAGTTAAGTCCCACCCAGGGTCCCCATCCTGCTCTTGTCCCCAGCAAGGTCCTGTCCAGCTCCCTGGCCCCAAATCCCACCCGGGCCATGTCCCTGGGGACGTCCCAGTGCAGTGTCCCCGCCCAAGAGCCCAGTGCCCCCAGCAAGGTCCCGCCCGAGGTCCCCTCTGGGCCGTGTCCCCAGGGAGGTCCCTGCCTGTGTCCCCCAAGAACAAGAGCCCCGTGTCCCCCCGAGAAAGGTTGGGGCCGCTGGGGTCATTGCCTTCTGTTTGGTACCGAACCGGGCCTGGTGGCACCGGGGCCACCGGGCTCTGAGTCGGGACAGGAGTCACGGGGGCCACTGGGTCCCGTTTGGTTCCGAATCGGGTCGTTCCATCCCGAACTGGGCACCGTTGCGCCCATTCCAGCCCAGGTGGCAGCAGGGCTGTTGTGAACCGGGCCAGGTGGTTCCCTTGAGAAGCGGGTGGCGGCAGAACCCCCGTCCTGTCCGGTCCCATCCCGAACCGGGTATCGCCGGATCCCTCCCATCCCGAACCGGGGGCCGGTGGCTCTGTCCTGTTCCGAACCGGGTATCGCCGGGTCCCTCCCATCCCGAACCGGGGGTCGGTGGCTCTGTCCTGTTCCGAACCGGGTATCACCGGGTCCCTCCCATCCCGAACCGGGTGTCGGTGGCTCTGTCCCGTTCCGAACCGGGGGTATCGCCGGGTCCGTCCCATCCCAAACCGGGTGTCGGTGGCTCTGTCCCGTTCCGAACCGGGGGTATCGCCGGGTCCGTCCCATCCCGAACCGGGGGTCGGTGGCTCAGTCCCGTTCCGAACCGGGTATCGCCGGGTCCCTCCCATCCCGAACCGGGGGTCGGTGGCTCTGTCCCGTTCCGAACCGGGTATCGCCGGATCCCTCCCATCCCGAACCGGGTGTCGGTGGCTCTGTCCCGTTCCGAACCGCGTATCACCGGGTCCCTCCCATCCCGAACCGGGGGTCGGTGGCTCTGTCCCGTTCCGAACCGGGTGTCGCTGGGTCCGTCCCATCCCGAACCGGGGGCCGGTGGCTCTGTCCCGTTCCGAACCGGGTATTGCCGGATCCCTCCCATCCCGAACCGGGGGCCGGTGGCTCTGTCCCGTTCCGAACCGGGGGTATCGCCGGGTCCGTCCCATCCCGAACCGGGGGTCAGTGGCTCTGTCCCGTTCCGAACCGGGTATCGCCGGGTCCCTCCCATCCCGAACCGGGGGTCGGTGGCTCCGTCCCGTTCCGGACCGGGGGTATCGCCGGGTCCCTCCCATCCCGAACCGGGGGTCAGTGGCTCTGTCCTGTTCCGAACCGGGTATCGCCGGGTCCCTCCCATCCCGAACCGGGGGCCGGTGGCTCTGTCCTGTTCCGAACCGGGTATCACCGGGTCCCTCCCATCCCGAACCGGGGGCCGGTGGCTCTGTCCCGTTCCGAACCGGGTATCGCCGGATCCCTCCCATCCCGAACCGGGGGCTGGTGGCTCTGTCCCGTTCCGAACCGGGTATCGCCGGATCCCTCCCATCCCGAACCGGGGGTCGGTGGCTCTGTCCCGTTCCGAACCGGGTATCGCCGGGTCCCTCCCATCCCGAACCGGGGGTCGGCAGCCCCGAACCGAACCGAACCGGGGGCGGCGCAGCGGCAGCGCCAGCCCC